ATGCATTGATATGACATTTAGAAAATGAGCAATAGTCCAATTTTAATGAGTATTGAGCGTCCAATAATGAGCACCATGTTATTACAAGAAAGCTTATATCACAACTAAAAAGCGGTGGCATTTTCGTAATTTCAGTGAAAATCGCGGTTTTCATTAGATGAGTATTAATACACTTTTAATGAGTATCATATACATTCTTTTGAGTAAGAGCATCCACATTCATGATTCTAAAATAATCTAATTATTTGTGATTCTTACCATTTAAAATTTGCCACATTAATGTTTTAGAAATAATCTCATCCCCTCCGAATTGCCTTCAACCATCATCCCGAAATAATCTGATCTTTTATGGGTCCTATAGTAACTAATTAACTCTGATTTCATAAATAATCTCAAAATAATCCAGTTTCATATTTTGATCTCGGATTATTCTATCAATTAATTCTGCCCAATAATCTCTCTCACTCAACCATGCTCTCCCAAATAATTTGTCATGTCACTAAAATAATCACTTAATAATCTCATGGATGGTGATGCCCTTAGAAGCCTGACAATGAGCATCACGATCTTTGCTTAATACTCCCTATTTTTTAATTCACATTTGTTTCTTTTATAAAAACTTATTAAATTATATCTAGTCAACTTTGATGAACTTCCAATATGTGAATCTAATGTAAATTTGTACTTTTCAAATATGAATTGATATGACATTTTCAAAATGAGCATCACATGAATACCAATTGAGCATATGTAATTTATAAAATGAGCATTGATATGAAAATCATAAGTTGTTTAGTTAAGCATCAAGACATTTTCATTGTGTATCAAACCTCATATATTGAGTATTAGAAACATGCAACAGAGTATCATGGTCCGTGCTCTCGTATTTATAATCAACACACACACACACACACACACACACACATATATGTTAATATAATGTAATATGGTGCTTTTGAAATATGTATTTATATAACATTTTAAAATGAGTATAACACCAACATCAAATGAGCATACATAAATTAACAAATGGGCAATGATACGAAAATCATAAATTTTCTTAGTTGAATATAAAAACATTTTCATTGAGCATCAAATCTCCTAAATTGAGTATTTGAATCATGCAATTGAGTATTATTAATCAAATCGAAAGAGGTACAATTGTTTTTAATCAAATTTTCATCTCAATTAATTCATTATAAATTCTCAAATTAAAGGTGCTAACACAATTAAAAGGAATGAAACCAAAACAAATAAGTGGACGTCTAAAAAAGAGGTTAACACTGGAAAAGTTAAATTCATTGCAATTGCCGACATCTGCAACTCCCTAGCAGGATCCACCTTTCAGTCGGTTACTCCATCTTCTTCCACGACATAAATTAATCAATTGTTTGATTCATTCTATTTTCGCCGCAATACTGTCTTAATTCCATGAAAATTATCTGAGTTGGGTTGTTGACAGTTGATTTCTTGAGAGGAAGCATCGGAACGGTTCGAAGATGAAGTGCCGGGATTGGGGTTGGGAAAAGCAGCTGCAAAACGGAGGGTTAAATGTCATCTCAGTTGTGAGTAGTTGCAGAAATACCCGGTTGTACGGTGAGGATTAGTATGACAATCATAAGTTTTTTTAGTTGAGCGAGCATCAAAACGTTTTCATTGAGCATCAAATCTTCTCTATTGAGTATTAAAAACATGCAATTGAATATCATGGTTTGTGCTCTCGTATCTGTAATTAAAACTCCTATTTCAATCTAATTTAATATGTTACTCTTGAAATATGGATTGATATAATATTTTAAAATGAGTATAACATCAGTATTAAATGAGCATACATAACTTACAAAAAGAGCATTGATATGCACTAATTAGTAGTGCATAAGTGTGTGTTTTTGTGTTTGATTTGTGTGTATTGTTTATCGTTTTATTTAGTTTGTAAAACATCTGTGTGATTTTAGTTGTAATTGTATTTTAATCATCATTTGTAAGTTGTAAAGTAGAATTAGGAATTCTGGTGTTGGAAAGGGAGACTTTGAAGTGAAGAAAACAAGAAATTTGACTGCCCAGGAGCAAAACCCGACCGGGTAGAAATCCTCACCCGGTCGGGTAGGATTTAACAACCGAAGAAGCAAGGAAACTGCCAGACCCGGTCGGGTCCCCTACTTGACCCGGTCGGGTCAGACATGACCCGGGACAAAACGACGTGCCGAAGAGCACCAGAACGTGGAGAATATCTGATTTTGACATTTACCCGGTCGGGTATGCCCATTTACCCGGTCGGGTAAATGCCCCAGGGTGTTGAAAACACCTATAAATAGTCCCATTTTCCTTCACTTTTAATCACTCCTTCTTCCATACTCTTAAGCTCAACTTAGAATAGTATTTCTTTTATATTTTTATAGCATATGTAGTCTCCAAATGAGGAGCTAAACTTCCATTTCTTGGCGTTGCTCTTGAAGCTTGTTGATTATTAAAGTTGTGAGTTATTTTCTTAACTTCTTTCCTTGAATATTAATTCTTCCTTTAAATACTATTTCTATATCAATGTTGGGGAGTGTTACTAAGATGACAATTAGTTAACATCTTGACATCGGTCTTAGTAATAGCTATTCCTTCCTCTATGCTAATATTGGGGAGTGTTACTAAGATGACAATTAGTTAACATCTTGATATTAACTATAGTAGGATTCATTTTCTTTAATATTCTTCCTTGAGTATTAATTAATTCCTATTCATATTTCATATTAATATTTTGAACATTACTTAAAGGATCAACTAGTTTTGTTTCATATATTAATTATTACTAGAAACGATCAACGAACCGATGGTTAATCGTTGATGGTTTCACAAGTAAGTAACTTCGGTTTATTAATGCACGGTCGTGGTTAATAAACTTAAGAAGGATTAATTTTGTTGGTTAAACCGAAACCGTTGTGTTGAGGTTATCAATCTCAATTGATTTCATCAAGGAGTTAAGAGATTAAATGCTACTATCAAGTCGGTATATGGCGTTGTTCTATACTTGACTAATAGTAAGGGTTATTAATGAACGGTCGTTGTAAATAACTTTCCTCGATGAATTTGATATACTCCTCGATTGAGTATTCGAGAGGAAATAAGTTATAGATATAACAATGATCGACTAAAATATATCAACAAGTGGAAAGTAGCAATGCCAAGTCCTTTTTATCCTTGAATTAAATCACATATAACTCGTTCATCTTCGTGTTTAAATTTAATTAAATCACTCAATCCCAAAACCCCCCTTATTTAATAGTTTCATAAAAAGATAATTATTCTTTTCCATGTGGATACGAACTCTACTACGCTATACTACGTATATGTGTTAGTATTGAATTTATTTTGAGTGCACACACGACAAAGTGCACATCAAGCATTGACATGGAAATCGCAAACTTTGTTAATTGAACATCAAAACATTTTCATTGAGCATCAAACTTTCTTTTATTGAATTACAAATATAATCGTGTTCTTTTTATAATTAATGTTTACTCATGCACATTTATTTTACACTATACTAATTTTTGTATAAAAAAATTGAGTAATTAAAACACAATATATAATAAACTAATAATAAAGATATAAAATTAAAATAAAAAAAATAGAAAAATAAAAAATCAATACCTAAAACTTTTTATATTACACAAATTAAAAAAAAACTAAGTTAGAAAGTTGATTGGAAAAAGAGAAAATCTGGGACATTAAGTAATATTTTATATTATAGATTTTCATGATAATTTAATTTGAAATTAAAACAAAAAATTGTTAAAGAAAAAACAAAAACCTGAAAAGGAAGAACCGAAAGAAAACAAAAAGGTTGTTACCGAATAAAACAAAAGAAAACAAAGAACTGAAAACAAGGAGTAAGCAACGAGCGAACTGAATGCTAAGCAAATTAAACCGCCGGATGTACGTACCACCGGCGGTACGATATAATTGACCTCCATCCGCCTGCCCAATTGAGGCTGCTTCCATCCGCCTGCCCAATTGCCGCTGTTAGTGACGGTTTCGACGAAGAGAACGCCGCAGCAGACCAACGTCTTGGACGATGGACCACCGACCGTGGTGCCACTCCTTTGCTGGTAGGGTCGAAGTTGTTGCGTGACACATGGACCGGAGCTCCATCTCCCATCATAAGTTGCTGGTCAGACAACTATGGATCTCCGGCATGAAAGGCGCTGCCCTAAGAACGGGTGACAGGCGGTGGCTGGCGGCTGGACATTGGTACACGCGTGGGCGATGGATAGGTGACCATTAGGGTTGAAAATTAGCGGTAGGATGATGATTGGGTTTTATAATAATAATAACAAAAGGGCATATTAGTCATAACATTTCCAACAAGGTTATACTCTGTATTTCCTTTCAGATACATTAACTAGCCTCACGTTTCAATGCTATTACTTTTCAAAGTTTTGGTTATTTTCAAAGGCTACTTTTCAATTAACTAGGCGGGGCTTGTTATGGTTGAATGGGTCTGGTAAGTTGGACTTTGCAGGAGAGACGTGGGTTCGATTCCCCAACCAAGGATTTTGGGCGTATTATAGTTTTGGACAGCGGACATGTGGCATATTTGGGTGGAATACTAAATGGTATTGATTTACTTCATTAAAAATTTAAGATACTAAAATGCAACATTATTATTTACCAATAGTCTAAAATGCAACATTACCATTTGCCAATAGTTATGATAATTGATAATATCCATTTATTTAAAGTGAAAACTCCATAATTCAACATTCTGATTGATTCAAGTGGACTCTGATTGATTCAAGTGGACAAATGTATGATATCATAATTCACTTTTATTTAATCCAGAAATTGGGGGAGTCCAAAGTGAAAACATCGTAATTGTAGTCAACAGAATCCGTATTTTTCGATCTTTTCTTTGTGAGCAACTGTCAAAGTGGGGCACGGTTGTTGTGATGTGCTTACTTTCGGTCTCATCGATGTAGATGATGGTTAGATAAGATATAAAGATTGAAGCGATAAGATCGACTCCCAGCCAACTAAAGTGCGCTCTGTTCATTAGAGCCTTACATTTGGACCATAAAGCTTATTAATTGTTAGATGGTAGACGAGAAGGAAGAGGGAAGGAGAGATGGTTTGGTTACAGAGTCGGAATTTCTTCTGCCGAGTGGTATGGGGAGGGTGGTTAGATCAGACACCATCGTCCTCTCGAGGGATACGAAGGTGTACCGAAGCAGTTACGTAGTATCTGAGTGGGGGGGCCAAGAATGTACAGTCACTTACCTGACCTGCGGCAGCGGCGGCAGCGGCAGCGAGGATGGGGGCAGGATACGGGTGTACAAAGCAGCGAACACATCGAGTAGTGCGTTTTATGAATCTGGTGGCCGTTTATCTTGCCACTCATTCGTTTCCAAGACGTTTGATGCGCTGAAGGTTAGTTCCAACCCGGATTCCATCCAACGGATGAAGCAAGACTTGAGGCGGAACCTGCAAGCCCGGGCACACCGCTACCCAATTGACTTGATGAGGGTGGTCGAAAATTTCGTGGATGAAACCAGTGGCGAATTCTGCCTCGCCATCACCCCGTTTCCTGAACATGGCTCTATGAGGACCATCATGAAGCGGATGAATAGTGGCACGGGAGGGTTTCCCGAGGATCTCATCCTCTGTGCTTTGAGGACCGTTTTGAGAGGTCTGGCTCCTCTTCACAACCAAGGCATTTTACACTCAGACATCAACGCGGGCCGCCTTTACCTTGGCTATGATCGCACTCATGGCACCCCTGTAATAACCCTCGCCTTCGGAGCAGCAACTATTGACATTGTGGACCACAGCAATACATCTTCCTTTAATGCTTTGCCCTTAGCTTCCATGTCTCACTGGGCTGCTGCACCCGAAGTTTATGATTGCCCGTCGTCAGCAGCGGCCGACGTTTGGCTTGTGGGAATAACTGCTTTGGAATTGGCGTGTGGGGAAGCGCTCTTTAAAATTACGAACAGGGAAGCCCTGGAGGCCATCATCAAGCACATCCACCGCACACATCAACTCCCTTCCCCTACGCCTTCTCACAGCAACTCTAGTATTTTTCCCACATCATCATCAGATGCATTACATGATGATAATGCCGCATCACTGTCCTCTTCTGCACCCACATCTATTGATCATCAAACACACGGGAAGAAAGTGAATTCGGTGTTGAAGCATTTTGTTCGTACTCTGTTATTATCGGTACCCCGACCTGCTGCTGCACATTCCCCCGTTCCATTTTCAAAGAACTTCACGAAGATGGTCATTAAGTGCCTGGCTTGGGATCCCAAAAAGAGGCCAACTGTTGCTGCGCTTCTCTCCCAAAAATTCTTCAAAACTGAATTTCCCCAAGATGATTCCACATATTTCTACGATCATGTGAAGAACTACCTCACCTAAGGTGAGCTGTCGGCATCCGAAAATAAAGACTTACTACTACTCCCTCCGTCCCAATTTGATCCCAATTTGATGATCCCGTATTTCCTTTCTGGATCGTCCCAAATTGATAGTCTCATTTCCCTTTTTGGAAAGAAATATGTGGTCCACATCATTTCACCTTTTAAACTCAAATCTCAACCACAACTTTTACCTTTTCAACCACTTTCTTAATATTTGAGCTCAAAAGAAATAAGATCATCAAATTGGGACGGAGGGAGTACATGTTTACTTTATGGGTTAGTAAACGCTGTTTATTAAAACAGGTTTCACTAACCCGTTGTTCAATAAGCGGTGTTTATTAAATGTATGCTTTTTTCACGAGAATGATACATTTATTAAAATCTGATTAAACTTTAAAATGTTTCTTAGGATTTTACCTATCCTCACTACCCATTCCCACCCACCCGTAGCTCAGGATAGGGTTAGGAATGGGGTAGAAGGTAAGGCTGGCAGGGTGTAGTAAGACATAGTATGGGGTATGGGGAAGGGGTGAGGTAGGTTTAGGGATAGGGGTATGTGTGGGGTATAAAGTGGAAGGCAGATGGGGGCGTAGGGTGTGGGGTGTTTGCCTAGGGTAAAGGAGTAGGTATGGGTAATGGGTGAGGTAGCTAGAAGTAGGTATGGGTAATAGGTGAGGTAGCTAGGAGTAGGAGTAGGCAGTGCGGACAAGGGTGGGGTGGGGTAGGTAGGATGGGGGTTAGAGTGGGTTGGATAAGGAGGGGTTAGAGCGGGTTGGATAAGGTGGGGTTAGAATGGGTTAGATAGGGTAGGGGGTTGGGGTTATGGGTGTTGGGGTAGGTGCATAGATGCTCGTGCAATGTGAATATTTGTCAATACATTGATCCAAAAAAAGGTGGGGAGGTTAAATACATGAATCTCCCACTTAGGAGCCCCATAGGATGGTGAGGAGGTTAATCACGGTGACTCAGTCAGCAAAGTCGCAGTAGATCCATACACCCGTGCGCACCAGAGACTCAGTCTTATTTCAGGTTGTGTGACCTCCACTCGATCGTTGCGGAGATTCGAACCTTGGTTCATTGATCCAAATCTCCCACCACTTGACCAAGTGAGCTACCCATGTGGCCATGTGGGTGTATATTTGTGAATACAAAAATGCTTACTACACTTTTTTGGGGTTATGGGTGTTTGAGTGTTTTTCTTTTAGTTTTTTTTGGAAGATTTTTTTTTAAAAAGTTGATACGTGTATCCGTCAGGATACGAATATTCGAAATTTTAAAATAATTACCAAAAAATGAAAACTTTTGAAAATTGCATATACGGTCCGGGAACGTACGGTACGAGTATCCTAAAGTATCGGATACGGGAACATTTTCGATACGCCGATAAAACACCCTAGTGAAGTATCCGTGCTTCATAGCTAAGAACCATTGTATGACATAAAAGAAGTTTACTAAGAGCCCGTTTGGAGAACTCTGTTTTCGGCTTATCAGGCTTATCAGCCAGCTTTTTCACCAAACACGTAACTTTTACTTTCGCGCGCTGAATTGTGTAATAAGCCGAAAAAGTAAGGTTGGAGTTACTTTTCTGGCTGTATTGGCTGAAGTTACTGTAGAGGACCATTTTAGCTATTTTTACATATAATTTTTTCTTTAATTTATTAATAAAATATATTTTTAAAATATTTTTTTCTTAAATCAGCAGAATCAGCCAAAACAGCCACTCCAGCCAGAATATCATAAATTTCAGCAGAATCAGCCAAAACAGCCGATTTTGGTGCTACCAAACGGGCTCTAAGTAGACATTTATCTAAAAAAGTTGTTTACTTAACTTTTGTTAATAAGTTGACAGTAAAACTAAGAGGTGAACATCTAATCTAAAAACATTATAATTGTGAATGTGAGTTAGTATCCTTGAATTATGTCCATCTATTATAAAGCATATGAGGTTGTACACTTTTATTAAATCATTGTACTTATTTTTTCAATGGATTTTAAATACCCCTTGTCCGTTAACTTTAAGAAGCGCCGTTTAATTCGTGGGTAGAGTTAAACAATGTCTAACTCGTCTGCAACGATCATTCATAAACAGGAGGTAAAGTTTATTGAATTATTGATGAGCAATTAATATTTAGTCCTTTCACGTTAAAAAAAAATAGTCCTTTCAATGTCATTTAAATATTTTTTTATTCTAATTATCGTGATTTTGTTTTTGAGAGTTGTAGTGATTTACCTAATCCAATTCTCCAATTCCAAAATCAAATTATCTACATGTATTTGAAAGGTTGACTAAACATAAAGCAATACTCCCTATAACACACATACACGTTTTTAGAAAATGGGAACTTCTTAAGCTCGTTGGTAACACTAAAATTTGTTGAAACGAACGATCCTGCTAAAATTTATGAAGTTCTTTTTTTTGTTTAGGAACAAAATTTTATGAAGTTCTAGCTAAAGTGGTTGGATTGACATATTTTGTTGATTTAAGAAAAAATTATATTTTTAAAAATATTTTATGAGTAAAATAAAGAAACAAAATATGAGAAATAGCTAAAATCGTCATTTATTATATTAACTTCAACCATAAAAGAAATTTCTACTTAACTTATTCTGAATTTGACATAATTCAACGCGCGAAATAAAAAATTATGTGTATGATGAAAAAGTTGACTGATAAGGGTGATAAGCCAAAAAATAAGATCACCAAATGAGCTCTTTATGTTTGAGCAAAGTGCCACATTGTTAGCAGCTTATAATTATCTAATTTTCCACTACATAATTATGTGCTCGTTCTAATTTACTTGATGAGAATGATTATTCTTTTACACCTTTATGTGTTTGCTTTCATAATCCTCGTACTGGATAATTATAGTGCATTATTTTTTATATGCTTCTTTTTCGAAGTATCATTAATCTTATGTGATTAATGCTTTTATAAGCATTTTATTTAGTCTCTCATGCTTTGCTTTTTAGTCAACAAAGAAGTCAATTTCTTAATTAAACATGAACCTATTATTGAGTCATATATCAAGTACTAGCGATTACTCGCACAAGGCGCGAGAGTGTTTGCGCAATATTAAAATAGTGTTTTCTTTTATAAAAAAGTGTTATATTCAAACTGTTATGAGAGTTTTGTAAATAGTTAATGAAATTTTACATATCATATACAGTATTACGTATATTTTAAAAGTTGTCAGAATAATTATATTCCATGTCAATCAATTATTGTGTGGAAAATATGGTTCATCATTAATCAATATTTTAGAAATACATTAAGAATTTTGAGATAAATATAATCCAAATGCATATAGTTGTGCACAAACCAGTTTTATGAGCAATAAATATTTCACATTCCTTACAAGGTTGTAATAATATGTGTTCGAAGTAATAAAAGATTACATTTAAGTCATGTATTTAGCTATGTAACATCAACCTTTGATAGAAAAAATTGTGTATGTTAGTACACAGGTGAAACATTTCTTATATTGAACTATACAAAAATGATCCTGTCCGAACGTTCGGACAGGATCCTCCGTCCGAACATCCCCGTTTGGGGTCCTTCCCGGTGGAATTTTTTGATGAAATGTTTTGACCGTGTTCCTAATCAAGTCTAGTTTGTCCATACCAAATTTCAGCTCAAAATTCGATCTGGAAGACATTCAAATAATTTTTTGAAGTTGACTGCGTTTTTATATGTATATTTTGACGCAGTCAACTTCCAAAAATGATTTGAATGCCTTCCCGATCGAATTTTTAGCTGAAATTTGGTATGGACAAACTAGACTTGATGAGGAATATTCTCAAAAAATTTCATCAAAAAATTCCACCGGGAAGGGCCCCAAACGTCCATGTTCGGACGGTGTTCGGACCAGGAATGTTCAGACCTGAACATTCCTCTTGAACTATACTCCGTAATTGTAACAATATATTCAGGGGCGTGGTTAGGGAGGGGCCAACCCTGGCCCTGGCCCAACCCAAATTTAAAAAACGTCTGTATTTTTAGTGTAAAATATTCCGTATAAAAATGTTCTAAAAAAAATCTCTGTACCGGTTCAATCTTGCCCAGTGTCTTGGCTCGAATATATTTTTTCCAAAAATAACTATAATTATAAGTATGACTAGATAGGCGGGTGTTAAATGAACGGATAATTGTAAGTATGGCCTGATGGCTATATAGCTCCTAATGCCACCTTTTATATATAGGTGTTACTAATGCATGGCCACATAGGCATGGGCTTCGCCGTTTAGGAACCAAGTATAGCTAGTTAATGTTAAATGAGATAGATAAGACATAAAATTGAGTTAACGGGAGTTAATTGAAACTAACGGGACCGTAAGGATAAAGTAGCCAAATGAAAAAATAGGGTTCTACCTTCTATTAACAATGTACAACATCTTATGCACTAAGTGTGTTGACACAATTCAGG